GCCCAGTATACAACACAGGCCTGAGAAATAAAACTAAAAGATAGAACTAAGAGAGAGAAAGTGGGGTGCCAGCACAACCAATGCTGCTGCAGCTGACAAAGGCCCTGGACAGTCCCAGGCACTAAATTTTATTGGCAATCAATTGGGCTAAAGGCAAGCTACATGCAGGCAGTTTCCATGGAAATTAATGTAAACAAGGCTCATAAAGGACAAGACAAAGCATTCTCGAATTAGGAACATAGACAAAATATATGGTTGTAATTAGAATGTTATCCTTCTAGTCAGGGAGTTTCAGTTGTGAGAATGGAATTTGAGTGTAAGTTACTCTGACCTTGGCACATAGGCTTCAGCCAGACTCACTTCTATAAACAAGCCAATTGTGGGGTTAACTCTTTACAGCCTGCTTTGGGGATAATCAATATTGCAGTCCTCTGCAAAGAACAAAAATTATTGGGAAGCAACAACCTCTTCCTCATCTAAATCTGCTGTAAGTATGAAAACAAACAAAAACATCTGATCTGTGGTCATTGCTTCTAAATTGGCTTCTTAAAATGAAACACATCTTTCCCAATGAGCTCACTAGGTAATCTCAAAACAAATCCAGTTTAATATTGCTGCAAAATATGATACTTTATCAAAATACAATAACAAGCTCTATTTTTTGACAATGGAATCACTGCCCCTAAGGACAATCAATTCAGTGAGATAAACCACAAGAATGGGTTGGTTGGCACTACAAAAACAGTATGCTCTATATGACAAAAATTTATATTTTATTCAAAGTTAGTTCAGCCCTGCTCACCTTTGAGTTTTGAGGTGGATATGTGTTTTCAAAATTAGTACATTTGCCTCAGACTCACTGGATTTTTCCTTGGCAAGCACCACAAATTTAGAATGCACAACTTTCACTAGTCTCCTGCATGCTGGTATCAATGAATGTGGGTGCAAAGGTTATGGAACACATGTAAGAAAAAAATGAAAATTCTTTTTGCTTAAATACATGTAGGAACGCTTCTCATAATAACAGGATAATAATCTGCAGAGAATAGATACTAGCTATTTCTTCCAATGACATTGTATCAAATAGCTGTAATTGAGAAGTAGACTAAGAAGCTATACTGCAAACAAGAAGACAGGAGCGATTAAACTCTCTATTTGGACTCAGGAAAGCAACTCAGATAGTGTCCATCTGGAAATGCCCAAGGGTTTGATTTCAATAGGATTGAAGGATTAGGTTTGCTCAGTTGAATCCCAAGCCACCCATATATTATTTCCATCTATACATAGTAAAATTCTGCTTTCCTAGTTTCCATTCTTAACTGGCTGGCTCATTCTACCATCAAGCTATTTCTGTGAAGTCAAGATTGTGACAATCATTTGATAGATACACAAAAACAGGCTTACAGAAGAGTTTACTCCTGGCCACAGAAGTTTTCTTATTTCAGTCTAGTTTGCACTACCCATAATGGACTTTGTAGATGTAATGATGATGGCTTGACTTGCCAATTGTGTGATCGAGTGTAAGCCACCATACTTCCTTGAGCACGAGTCACTTCGATAAATGTAGAAATCATATAACCCAATTGCCTTAAGGATTGTGTAAAATAAGGTCTGACAAAAGCTTTACACAAAGCAGATTAAGTCTCAGTAATTTAAATTTCCTTTTTATTTCAGCTATATACCAGCCAGGGATATTTGCTTGCTATCTTCAATGTACTGGAAAACACAGTACCACACTCACAAAGTTTGTGCAAACTCAAGAATTATTTACCAGTGAGGCACTTTGAAATTTTAAACCTAGATTTCCCCGCGGTAAATAACTTTATGCTAAAGAAAGCTTCAAAATAAATGTGCTAGTACACTTGGCATCTATTTTCTCTGAAGAAAAAACTGTGAAATGTTAACAGTCAACATCTCTTCAAATGTTGAAACATCTACCGAGTATAGTCATACCTAGATCTATCTGGTAGAATTAGATCTCAAAGGGGAATTTGCTTTGCAAATACTCAACAAGAAATATGCAGGTTAAAAATAAACTTATAGTGCACACATGTTTATACTGGCTAATTCAAAATGCCATAAGAATAAATTTAAAGAAGCAGGTAAATTAATTCATTTCCAGCCCAAAGCCAACTTTCAATCTTGTTTTCCCTGGATATTTCTTTCTGAAACTCCTCTGAGATTTCCAGCAGAAGAAAGTCTATTAATTTTCCAGGTACTTGTTGATGCAAAAGCTATCAGGATTATGGGTTGAATATTTCTAGTGTAGGGAAAGTAAGGGATGCAATTAATCTCTGTGAACTAAAATATACCTCTTTTCATTAATCTTTTATTGTAAATGAGCAAAGTAATTGAACTAGTACCACACTGTCAGAATGAATGCAATGCCGGTGGGATATGCTTGAGAGAGCACATACTGATTGAGTATTAAATATCTAACGGCAATAATTTATGGTTCATTACCTCTTTTGGAGTTTCTTAGTTACATAGGTCTTGAATTCTAAGTAGTTAGACTTTTAGTTGAAAACACCTTTCAAATGCTAAAAACAGCAATTGCACACAACCCACAGACAATCTCTTTAATTTGAGCTGTATCAAACTTAGTTGAACAAAATTCCAAGACTATTTGCAAACAGAGTTCATTGTTTTAAAGACAGAAAGATGTCATCTTGCTCCAAAATACCCTGCTATGGTGCATTTATGTGAAGGCTGGTTGACACAGACACAGAATTGTGCATAGGGCTATCATCTCAGCAGAGATCCTGAAACTTCCTCCATATTATGTTAATCCCCATCCAGCTCTCTGGTGGTTCAGAGATCTCCGCTTTTGGTTTCAACTGACACTAGCTTCCTTAATTATATTCTGCCATCCCCCATGGCAGTTTTGTGGTACATGGAAATAGAAGCTTTTTTCCTCCTGTTAACAAAATACGATCGACCTGAAGCAATGTTTATAGAAATACGTGTTTTGGACTTGAAGATTGGGTCTATACAGACCTCATGCAGTTTAAAAACAAATACTGTTAAAAGAAAGCAATATGAACCCTATATCCATGGCTAAGAGGTACGATAACTATTTATTCACTTGTTGGGTTTTAAACAAATTCCTTTATTCCAGTTTTACCTCAACGTCCTGAGGAGCAGTTAATATTTGAGTTGAACTCTATTTTTTTTTTTACAGAGCAAATACATGTTTTCTTGGGTTCATAGTATCTGAGCAACATGCAACATGTTTCTGAAATACAACTTCAAATGAAGACTACAGACTTTGGAAATGATTTGGATGTAAGTGCATAGCCATGTATGAACATGCTTACAAACTTTTTTTTGTTACCATATATAAGATATATACTGACATACAGTCAACCTTCTCTAACCATGGATTTTCCATTTGTGAATCAACCAACCCCGGATAACATAGTTTCTATACTGAAGATGCAGAGAATTTTACTTTTCATAACTCCCTAAATAATACATTATAACAACTAGCAATATAGATTTTGCATTTTATTAGTTGTTAGTTATTACAAGTAATCTAGAGATGACTTAAAGTACATATATTTTGTTGCAAATATTAGATAATTTTATAGAAAGGAGGTGATCATTCTCAGATTTCGCTATCCACAGGGGTCCCAGAACGGCTGCCTTTGAATACCCAGGGATAATACTGTGTGCGTGTGTCACTGTGGTAACCAGAATAATGGCCTTCCAGAATTCCCATTCCTTAATCTTCCTTTAAACCCATGAATACTTGACATTACAAAAGGAACTCTTAAGATATCATTAAGATTAAAGAATTTGAAATGGTGAGCTTATCTTGGATTATCCAGATATACTAGGTCAAATTATATAAACACTGAAAAAGAAGGACTTGCTAGTTGTATTGGCAAATCATATAGATGGCAGCAGGAGGAAACTTTGACTCACCATTGCAGATGAAGGGCAAAAACTTAGCATGCGTGTGGGCTCTGGAAGGTGAGTATGGCAATGGTGTGGACTCCACCCTAGAGCTCCAGGAAAGGAACACAGCCCTGTGGACACCTTTATTTTAACCCAAGGAGGTCCATGTCAGACTTTTGATCTACTAAATGTGTGTGCAGTTTTAACTGTGTAGTTATTATTTTTAGAGTAGCAGTCAAAAAATGAATAAATTGTATAAATATAAGTGTATATGTTTCCTCTCATCTACACAGGTTACCTCTATAAATAGGCATAATTGGGAGCATTCATTTCTGAGGAATAAGTGTTGTGTGGCAAGAAACAGATGTGCCTGAATGATTTGACATTGTATATTGTACTTTCAGATGTTGAAACATCTAAACTTGTCTATTTGAAACATAAATATAAATAATTTAAAATAAGTACATTCCATATATTTCCTTCCTGTGCTATGAAAAGTATGGCTTATATTAAATTGGTGTGATAAGTCATCAAGCTCTTCTATAATTTTGTAGAATTTTGTGGGAAACAAAATTGAATGTTGGCTAATCAGAGTACGTGTTTTGCTGAGTTATGGGATATAAATTTTAAAAAGCTTACTTTTAAATTTTGTTTGTATTTTCTTATGAATCATTTCTTTTTTCTAGAGCAACTTCTAGATGATCTTCTATGTATGGCTGATAAATTTCAAGGTGAATTAATTCCCTAGCATTTATTCAGTCATTTAACATTTACAAATATCCATCAGTGATAGGATTGTAGACTCAGACATGAATTTGAAATAGGCTTTGTTGTCAACAAGGGTCTCAAATACAGAATCTTAAATAAATAATTACAGCAAGATTTGGAAAATGTCATAGAAGAAACATGGGACCACTGAAGAATCTAGAAGCACCACCTTGGCAGAAAAATGATGACATAAAATATCTGCTGAAAATCAAAACCTTTATGAAAATTACTAAAAAAATAAACAAACTCTTCTTTAAAATTTTTTATAATCATTTGCTGTAAAACTGCTGTGATAAATATAAAGTTTTCTAATGATTACAAAGAAAACAGACCTCTTAGATTAGTGAAGTGTACACGTGGCTTCCTGAGCTGCAAGAGGCCATTTGTTCTCTAGGATCCATCATAATAAAATATTCCAATTTGCCCCATCTCTCATTGTCAAAGTCTTCTTATACCTATTAAAACCAAACAGACAAAAGTATTAATAGCTAAGTCAGGCCATTTTACTTACAAAAAGGTAGATTTGCTCTTGAGTAGAATAATAAATGCTGACATGCCACCAAAACACACTCAGAGAGTCAAGTTGTAGGTGTGGTCCAAAATATTTTCTTATATTCAATGTCTCTAATAATTGGATATGCACTGACAACACATTAAAAACAATAAAAAAGATGTCTTTGGTTACAGACACTTTGATCCAAAAGAGGACTGAGACTAACCATGAATTAGTCATAAAAACAAGTTCTGGTTCCTGCAGCCCAAATCTAAACCTACTCTATGCTCAGGTGGCTACGTGATGTTGGTTGACCTCATTTGGCCTTTGGGATAGTAGAAGAGGTGAGATGATTTCCCCAATGCAGACAGACTTAGACATAGAGATTTGCTATGTAACACTGTTATTTTAAAATTAAAAATGCCAACTTTTTAAAATCTCCTTTTTGGAACCTATTTTTCTGGAGATTTGAACATGTATTTATAGTGCAAGTAAAATCAGAAGTTCTTTCTTCTCTTTCTTCAATTTTCGGGTATTTCTGGAGAGAGTACATTTGGCTCTGAATTATACAGATAAGAATGAATCAGTTCTCTTTCTCTCTCTCCATTTTTTTGCAGCAATTGCCCCCAAAGGACTGGGAAACACTTGTTTTCTGTTCTTCCTTTTAGCTTCCAGACTTCATGTTCTAATTGGGTAGGAAGACTTGTTTTCTAATTATACCTGATATAAAATTGGCTTCCCTTCAGCTGTTAGGATTCCCCTCCCTCGGACTTCATGAGATATTTATTTGTGAGGATGAAGCAACGATAAATGATTAATCTGTGTACAAGCTTCACACAGACATTTACTTGATAAAAACATTTGTTGACCCTCTATTGTTTACAAGGTCCATTGTTGAAAGTTAGATTGCTGGATGTTGATTGGCTTAAAAAAACACTAAAGAGGGCCGGGATTTAGCTCAGTGGTTTCGCCACCACCTGCTGCGCAAGCGCAAGGACCCAAGTTTGATCCCCGGTACCAAACAAAACAAAAAAACCACTAAGGTGACTCCGACCTGAGATCAACTCCCTCCTCTCTCTATTTTGTCTTTCTATAAAAAACAGAGAAAAGGAGAGAGCTGACTTCTACCCAGGCTTTTGAGAGCGTGTATATCATTTTGAAAACTACCTAGAAATAGGTAAAAGTCTGTACGTATTAAATACTTTATCTAGAATGAGTGTTGTGGGGTTTAGGATGAAGAAGGGAGTATCTTCATAAAGTACAAGGTCAATGGCTTTTCAGGGCCTCATTTGTCCTCTAATTATGAGAGATAAAGAAGTCTTAATAAACATGAAAGTAAATTTTAAAATTCATCTGTTTATCCCTTCAGCCATAATGGCTAAGGAAGTGCTTGTGGATGATTTTGAAAGGTCAGTTCATGATATTTTCATGCTGGTATGTAGCATGTAGTAATGGGTTTCTGATTCTATTTAACACAGAGTGACCTTGTCTATTGATTTAATGAGGACATCACACATGCTGTACTTTCCTATTTAGCAAAAGTTTTTGCCTTGAAGGTGTACCAAAGGAGCACATTGCCACAAGAAATTGGGTCCAGCACAGCTATATGGCAGAGAAAAGGCCACAACCATTAAACAGACGACTTTCAGTGTTTCAGGCAAGGTGTATCGAAAGGCACTTGGGGAAAAGGCAGAGGGGGAGAGCCACTGAGCAGCCTTGTGTCTAGTAAGTAGTGGCCCTGATTCCTCTAGTCCCTCTACAGTGCCTAGTATCTGACACTCATTCAAAATCCTGGAAAGCATTTCACAGTGACCTTAAATGAAAATCAAAGAAAGCAAAAAAAAAAAAAAGTTGACTACTCACATAATTATAAAAAGACCTGCTTCATCTACGCTTTATGTGCCCATATGGCTGGATGTTCAATGGATTTCAGTAGTCATTGCCCTCCTAATATGCACTCTTAATTAGGTAATGGGAACAGTCTCGAATTGTGACAACAGAATTTTCTAACTCATGAAGATTAAACCACACTAACTTTGTTAAGTATTGGGATTCTAGCTGGCCCCTAAGGTATACTGTGGTCTGCAGCCAGAGGAATCCGTGCCTTTCTGATCCATGATCTAAGTTTTGGGGGCTGGAGATACAGTCTCTGGGAAAGGTCTTTCAGAACTCAAGATACAATTTTCATGGTCTTTTTAAAATAATTAGACATTTGAATGCACATATGGGATCCATATGGGTTTACACATCTACACGCACATTTGTAGGGTTAAAAAGGGGCTCAGCCTCTAACCCAGCACAATGCACAACAATATGACAGCACGGTACTCATCTGTGTTCCTTTTTCTCCAGCTTTTGAGAAGGCTTTTTACTAAAAGGCATATTAGAGGTGAAATGAACTTTAGAATTCAGCTAACCAGTACTTCAATTTGTATGTAGGAAGACTAAAGGCAAGATAAAAAATGAATTAGTGTCAGAACTAAGAACTAATCATCCACTTTTAATTTTTCAAATTTTCTATTATTGTGTTTATAGTACACAATGTTTATATTCCTTACATGGAGTAGGTACATGTATATAAAATATCATAATCTCCCTCCCCTTCCTCCCTCTCCTCTCCCTCTCGATCCTCCCCTTTGAGAAACATCTATCTCCCTACATCCTATTATTTATCTTTTATTTTGCTCTTTATTTATAATTTGGATTATTTCTTATAAGAGAAAGATGTGATATATTTACATGTCTCATTTATTTCACATAATATTATGGTTTCAAGGTGCATCCATTTTCCCAAAAATAATACAAGTTTATCTTTATGGCAGAGCAGTATTCCATTGTGTATAAATAATATATTTTCTTTATGCATTCATCTGTTAATGGACATATAGGCTGTGTCTGAGACTCAGCTGTTATGAATTGTGCTGCTATAATAATGGGTAGCTATGCATGTATCACTGTAATATGACATCTTTAACTCTTTGGGGAAGATATCTAGAAGGGGAACAGCTGGGCCAAATGGAATTTCTTTCTTCAGTTTTGTGAGGAATCTTCATACTGATTTCCACAGTGGTTGTACTGGATTCCATTCCCACCAACATTGCAGAATGTTTCCTCCCCTCACCCCACCCTGCAGCCTTGTCATCACTGGTCATAGTTTGACTGCTTGATGATGGCCATTCTTTCAGCGGTAAGATGGAATCTCAGTGTTGCTTTAACTTGCATTTCTGTAATGGCTATGCTACTTCCCGGCAATATCTGAGGTTCTGCCACCCAGTCACCAGCACTCTTCCATGGGTTATATTTAAGATTTGAGAATAAAAGCCACCAGGAAAAACCCCGATGATAAAAGATAATACTATTTTTTCTTACTTTATTTAAATGTATCAGTTATTTAATTAGCTTCTTAGCAAAAATTAGAGATCATAAATTTTTCAGGATAAACTCCTTAGTTAAAGCAGAACTGCATCAGACATAGCTCTGCAACTGAGGAATACTTTTGATTTTTGGTAAAATTTAGAAGTCCAGACCTTCTGAATAAACCTTCTGCAGCTCTGTAAATTCTTTATAATCCTCCCTGTATTACTCTTTCTCTGTGTTGGCATTCTTACCTTTCTGGAGTAGGGACTCTTCTGCTTCTTCTTCAAGTTAGCATCACTGAGATGTTTTGTGATTTTCACATTGTTAATGTCAATTTGGGGAAGGTAGTGATGACAAATTTCTGGTGTGTTCTACATAGAAGAACTCAGCTGAGTGACAGAGGTGCAGTTACATGTAGCAAGCCGTGTTCAACTGCTTTGGGAAAACCACTCTCTGGGGTTTATGAAGCCCAGCTATGATGACCAGGGTGATGCCAGGAGTGATGCTAGCTCAGTTTTCCCACATGCTGGTTGAAGGGTTTTTGTTGCAGTACAATAGCTTTCGAGGCACGACTTTAGTAGAATAAGATCTAAATACAGCGTGACCCTTCTTCTGCCAGGGACTGCAGTTCTTGTTATCACTCACTTGTTTTGGGACAGCAGCAAGAACCTTTTCCTTTGCTTTTCAATCTTGAGTTGAGCAGCTGAGTACTTCCTCTGGCACTCCTTCTGGAGTACTTAGCAGATCGGGGGCACATGACAGTTCCTTTGATGAGGACAGGGTTTGGCTGCATCCGGGCTTCCCCTTTTCGATGTTTTTAACCTTGAGTCATCCTCTTAACCTTGCCACTGGCATGAGCCCTCTTGGTTTCAGTTTTCTTCTCCTCAGTACCTGGCTTCTCAGCTTTTCCCCTGCTATCTTGCAAGATGGCAAAGAGCAATGATTTTTCTAAAATGCACACAATTACTGTGAGCCAATAACAATGCTATGTACCTGTTCACAAATTCATAGCATAGTTTGAGCACTGCTATAACCTATGACTGTGAGATATAAAGAGACCTGAAAAGATAGGACAATAAATTTTAAGACCAATTTATTTATTCCTTCAATCAGTATGGAGAAGGAAGTGACTTTTGGATATTTTTTGAACTGCAAGTACATGTTAGTTTCATGCCAGTATGTGACATATGGAATAGAGGCGAACACTATTCAAGGCACTTTTTGTTATCCGATAAGCCAAAAAATATCTCTACCTTTGTGAATCTACATTCCACAAAGAGAAGATAGAAAACACAGAGTATGTAAATTACACAACATTTTGGAAAATGCTAAGTGCTGCAATTTAAAAAAATAGAAACCAGAATGGAGTGAAGGAGATGGAATACATGGCTGTGTGAGGAAGGGGATAAGGAAGGAAGATTAGTATTTTGAATAGTAAGGTTAGTGTTAACTCTCTAAGGAGGAGACATGATACATTTAAATGCTCAGCATAATCCTTTAAGGATGCATTTTAAAATGTCTTGTTAATAACTTTTAAAAATCAATTCAATTCATATATTACACACATAAAATATGCATAGCTCAATGAATTCACACAAAGTGTGAAGACCTGCTAAAATCTCTAATTTTAGATGATGAACCCGATTCAAAGAGAAGAATAAGCTAAGGATCACACCACCACCAAAGACAGTCATTAGAGTTTAGCATCTGGCAATGAAGAAAGGCCCAGATACATGGCTAAATCAGTAAATAATAAGCTAAGGATCAACTACTGACAAAAGCCAACCCCAAACACGAGCTCACCTGACTTGAGAACCTTAGCACATTCTTATTGGTTCAAGGTCTCTCAAGGAAGAGCACAGTGGCTGACTGCAGACTCTGGAAAACTGGAAAGGAAAAGAGATACAGAGATGAAATACGGAGTAGTTGGACTCTTAACTGAACAGAGACAGTTCAGCTTCTTGATTAACAGTGGAAGGGAATTTATAAGCAACTTTCTGGGGCATCTTTGTAGAGACATAGGATGCTGCTATGTCTCAGAGTTACCACGGAGTGGCAGTGTTCTAGAGTTTAACTAAAGTTAGCAACTGCTTTCAAAAATTCCCAATTCAGCCCTTTTAAAGAACCTAATTTAAAACAAAACAAAACAAAACAGTTCATACATTTGTGCACAGAAAAACATGTTTGTGTGAAATTTACTTTTGCATGAAAAATATCACGAGCATAAACATACAGCCAATACAACAGTCTCTATTGTTTATGCATTAGATATTTCATTGTAAGGAATAAAATGCAATAATTGCATAACATTTACAAATAAACTATACCGTGGACTTCTTTTATTTGGCTATTCCAGGGAACCTGGTGGCAAATCAATATTTTTACTATGGAGAAATAGAAGGACTACATTTAAGACAAAGACAAAACTGTCTGAAGACACTGAAAATACCTAGGATTTGAGAGGTAAAGATCTAGGAGAGGAGGAAAGGTCCCAAAGATCATATTTACATTTAGATTATTTACACTGGCCAAGTGGTCACTGGAAGGCATTTTTCTTATTCATTAGCTGTACTGTACAGAAGGATAGGAAACCAAGCCAAGAGCAACTGAAACGTCAGCGTGTCTTGTGGTGATCTCAGTGTATTGGAAATACATCATTGGGGTTTAGTATCTGTTAATAAAGAGGAGACCAGATGCACACCTAAAGAATTGGAGCAAACCAATGATTAACAGGCACGTTTTCTTTTTAAGTCTGAAATTCTGCCTGAAGTCTACTCAGTCCCTCATTAGACTGTATTGATTTGCCCTTACTTGCCAGAGGATAATCGAATCCTCCTGGAGAATGACAGCATCATTCAAAGCCTCTACAGTATTTTAAACATAATGTCTGACATTCACTCAAAACTGATGAGGCTTATCACAAACAGGACCAAGATGAAAGGGGAGGACGGGCCTTTATTTGAACCATTAATGAATTAATCATATAAACTTTAAAATAAGATTAAAAATGGATTGAAGAGAAGAAAAGGATAAGATGGAGAGTTCAACAAAGGACTAGAACTTTTAAATAATAAGGAATCAACTTGAAAATCTAGAGATAAAGCAAGTGATCACTAAAAGGAAGTCATCATTAAAAATGATGACCACTACAATAAAAATCAATGAAACAGAATATCTGACCCGAATGAAGAGAGAAGTGAATTACAATAGCACTAATAAAAATTATATAAACTTTACAGAGAATACACAAAAGGAAAACAATAAGAACTAAAGCAGAAATACGTAAGACACCTATGCTACATGGTGAAAGGGCCATTTGGGGTGGGTGAAAAAATGGGATCAGAATTTTATTCGAAGAAGTAAAGTCCAAGATCTTATCACAAACTGATTAGAGATGTCACCTTATAGATTCAAGAAACTCAGAACATAACTGAGCTAAACATGAGAAGAATCATTCCTTGTCACACTGTAGTTAAACATCTAATCACCAAGGACAAAAAGGAAATCTTAAAGCCAGTCAAGGGTAGGCAAACAGAGAGATCTATAGAGTGACATTAAAAGTGTCATTTGGTGTCTGGTGCAAAAAATAAAAGCCACTGAACAATGAGATGCTACTTTTTTAGTGTGGGAGGAAAATAACTGGCAAAGTAGAATTGCATACACAATAAATTCTTTTTTTTTCCCCATTAAATTTACTAGTACATTTGAGGTATAAAATACAGTTACATTCATCATTGAGATCTTGTACCATTACATGAGTATCTTGGTTCTTATTTTTTTCCCCCATTCCCCTGCTCTCCCTTCATCCCCTTCACCTTTCCCTATTTGCAAAGACTTTGCTTCCATTTTTTTCCTTTTCTCATATTTTTTCTTTTCCCTTTTTTCCTTTTCCCTACCCCTCCCACTTCCCCTGCTCCTTTAGGCCTTTCTTCCTATTATGCAATATCAATTATACATTTTTTAAATTACAATATCAAGATCTAGGAGACACTACCACAGATTTTACAGAATTTAAAAGGATATAGAAAGCGTATTACAAAAATCTTTTTTGAAAGAAATTTGACAACTTCTGAGACATACCTTGGAGGATAAATTAATGAAACTAACTCTGGAGGAAATATAAAATTTGAATATCACCTATTAAAGAAAGTATATTCCTAGCTTGAAAACCTACCTATATGAAAACAGCAGGCTCATATACATTTCACCTGATAAATTATATCAAAAAATTAAAGCAGAAAAAGGAAGGCACACTTCTCCCTTCATTTTAGGAAATCAACATTGTGCTAATACTAACACTAGACAAGATAATAGAAGAAATAAGTATGAACATAGATAGAAAAAAACAAACTATTAGAAGTCAGATCTGGCAGGATGTAAAAAGTGGTTTTGTTATAGGGATGGCAGTGTTGGTTCAGCATTGGAAGATCCACACCCAAAAGTCATCATTTTAACAGAGGAAAGGATAAAGCCATATGATCCTGTCACTAATTGGAGAAAAAGTTTTGGACTAAATTCTACAGCTGTTCATGGTTAAAGCTATCAGGAGACTAGAAGTAGGACAGAAACTTCTCAACAGATTAAAGACATGTACTCCATACTTCCAGCAAGAACGCCTTATATGAATGGAGAAGATATAATGCTTTCTCCTTAAGGTGGGGAACAAGGGCAGATATGTTTATTCTCTATCTGTCCATTAAACTTTGAAACCTAGTCCCCACCAAAATAGTCTGGCAATAAAATGACACAATTAAGATAGGATTGGCAAGGGAGAAGTAAAATCTTTATACGTAGATGAAATGATCACATACAGAGAAAATACTAAGAAATATCAAGGAGCCCCTAGAACTTGTATTTGAATTTAGCAGGATTAGAAAACACAAGGTATATAAAAAGAATCATGTCTGTGTATATGTGCTGTAAATGAAGAATTGGATATTGAAATTTAAAAGTTATGTAGGAATACAAAAGACCTAGAAAAGTAAAAAAAAAAAAAATGGACAAAAAACATTGTTGGAAGACGTTTAGTACCTAATTTTAAGACTTCTTCTAAAGCTACAGTAATCAAGGCAGTGTTGGTGTAAGGAAAGACA